GTCAAGATCAATAATACTTAGGCGTCATTATCCTCAATTTAAAAAAAAAAAAAATTTAATCGTCGTTTTTGTTTTTTTTTTTTTTTTTTTTTTTCGGTTAATACATAATAATTTCAAATCGTTGTTTAATATAATTCATTCCTTTAAACGTTCTCTTTTGTTGTTTGTTTGTTCGCTTGTTTGTTAGTTTGATTCGATTGCTTTGTTTTTGTTTTGTTTTTCACGACGTTTAAAACAACATCGAACCCGAAACGTTTTAAACAAACGATTATCACCATGTCGTGTCGACGATGACGTTTCGTGTACCTATTTCGGAAAATTTTCCCCGTCGAATGTTTTGTTTTTGTTTTTAAACTCGCACAATAATACAAATTTATATCGAAGAGATTCGTACCTCATTAACAAAAAAAAAAAAAAAAATATTTACGATAGATTTTAAGTTAATATTTAACTTACGCCCTTAAACAACGCCCTAACCGATACACAATACACGCCCCAATATTATAATTCCCGGTACGTGAACATAATCGAAAACAACAATACCAACAACAACAACAACAACCGATAATACAATAACCGTATTGTGAAAGTAAAAAAAAAAAAAAAATTTATAATACATCCATCACGTGATTAATTATTTTAAACGCGATGATTATGTGTCGCAAACGATTTTTCGACAAACAAAAAAAAAAAAATAAATATGGCGCGTTTGTTTTTTTTTTTTTTGTTACCCGACAAACATAAGAAAATTCTTTGGAAATTAATCAATCAGATCAAAAGTCTCAATCAATCAATAAATCAATAAATAAATCAAATTTGATCAAGTTTTAGTTTCGCATTTTCATAACTTTTTTATCATCATCTTTTTTTTTCATCGATTTAAAGTTTTTGTTTTTTTTTTTTTTATTCGAAAGGCCATATTGCGGTTTTCTCTCCCTCTCTCTCCCCCCTCTCAATCTCTTTCTTTCCATTGAATTTTTTAGGTTTTACATTTGATTGCTAGTTTAAAAAAATTTTAAGTGAAACCCACAAAAAAATAAAAAAAAAACCAGATTTTTCGGTTTTTTAAATCAGATTTTTAACCACGATGCTAAGTTACCATCACCACCATCACCCATACCACCACTACCACCACCTTCTTCTTTTTCTTCTTGATTATTTCGTAATGCAAAGAGAAGAAAAAAAAAAAAAAAAAAAAAAAAAAAACAGACATACGGACAACATTCCAATGAGACATTTTATGCACTGCTACCACTACTATTACAAATATCATCATCATCATCATCATCATCTCACCGCCATTTTATTTATTTTATTTTTTTTAAACGATAATCATCGAATCGAATCGTCGGATAACCAACGACAAATTTTGCGAAAATTTTCATCATTATTATTACATTTTTTAAAGTTTATTATTGGAAAACAAAAGTCCAACGCACACATATATTCACACACATGCACACACATATATATATATAAATATATTAGAAAAAAAAGGAAAGAAAGAAAAAAAATTATTATTTAATAACATTTATCAAAATGTCGAAAGTTGATTATCAACTTAACCTCGCAAATTTTATAAACCTTTCACTAAATGGAAGATAAACTGCACAAAATTGCTAACGTTTACTTGCATTATTAACGAGTTTTATAACACCCTCCAGGAATTTCAACTCGTTCATTTTATACTTATTTTTTTTTTCTACGAAAATCGACAAAAATAAAATTTTAAAAAAATATTTTTTCCTTCTCATTTTCATTTTCCGAACTCAAATAATAATAATAATTCAAATTTGGAATACATATAAGCCAAGTCAACAGTCAACAACAACAACAACCAAATTCAGCCTGAACCTTTTTCTTGTTGTTTTTTTTTTCGCTTACGACTCCAAAGCATTCAATGATAAAATTATGGTAGTGAGAGAGAGAGAGACAAAGAGAGAGAATGAGCGAAGAAAAGGATAGTAAAAGAGAAGGCAAAGGTTGTAAAATGAAAAAAAAAAGAGTTAACTTTTTCATAATCCTAGAAAAAAAAATTACTGGATCACAAAAAATATGATGGGGGGAACAAACAAACCCTTATTTTCCCTCCACTTCTTTCCCTCCCTCCTCCCCCTATTTTCCCCTCGTTCGATTCAATATTTTGATACTTTTATGATTAATGAATAAAGTAATATATCAGTTTTTTAGTTTACATCTATAAATCTTTCTTTCTTTTTTTTTTTTATAAACATGGCGCGATAAATAAAAAAAACAATATTTTCAAATTCTTTTACGCACATCATCAAAAACAAAAAGAAAAATTATTCGTGTGGATGAGTATATCGCGGATCCTACATTATTTAATAATAATAATAATAAATTTTTTTTTATTCGACACGAACCTTAAGGTTGAAGAGGTTCGAAAAAAAAAAAGTTTAAAAATTTTGCTTCGTTTATCATATTCACATCATATCACCCCGTACGTACCTGGGGTAAAATTACCCCCAATTATCTAATTTCGTTAATCGATGCTTTCCTTTTTTTTTTTTTTTTTTTTTTTTTAAAAAAAAAAACGTACAGATAATTAGAGCCTAGTGTAGATAAATCTTTTCAAAGGTTACAACAACCACAACAACAACCAGAACAACAATAAAAATTTATAAAGGATGTACGTAACAAACAAACCAAAAAAAAAAAAAAAATTTTTTTTGTTGTTTGCGTCGGTCTGAACAAACTACACATTTCTCCGATGTGTTCATCGACCCCCCCCCCCCTAAAATATTTAAATTCTTATCAATAAAAAGTTAATTTTTTTAATTTAAACAAAACAAAAAAAATTTTTTTTTTCCTATTCCAAACATGAAAAATCAAAATAAAAAAAAAAAAAAAACTGAAAAATGGAAAACTTTTTTAACGAACGTTGAAAAGAAAGAAAGAAAGAAAGAAAAAAAATGAATAATAATAATAATAATAAAAGAGAGAGAGAGACAGGCAGTTGAATCCGGGTGTGGCTTCGTCGGCATGCAATCCTTCATTCATCGCATCACAAAAAAACCCCCCCTCCTCTCCCCAGAAAAAAAAAAAAAACTCTTTTTATTGTTTTTGTCACGCCAACTAAAATCTCAACGATTGAAAAAAAAAAACGAGAAAAGCAAAAATTCAACAAAAAAAACAGAAAACAGGAAACGAGAGAGAGATAGAGATAAAAAGATAGAGAAAGAAAATTTAAAAAAAAAAAAGAACCAAAATGATGATTAAGGCCGTTAAATTACAATTTCTTTGGGGATACCACCTAAGAATTTTTTTTTTTTTTTTTTTTTTTGTAAAATTAATAATAACATATATTATGAAAAATTTTTAAACCACGCGCACGCGCACACGCACACACACGCATTTAAAATCCATCAGAAAAAATTAATTTTTTTTATCGGAAAACCGATACTACTTACTTTACTTAACAAAAAAAAAAAAAAGAAATTAATTAAAAGTGACTAATGGCTAACAATTCGTCAAAACCGACAAGTGTGACCGTGTGTACCTCCCCATGGGGAGGGGGGAGAAGGGAGGAAATGGCGGCGGCAATATCTAATGACATTTAAAAAAAAAAAAAAGTGAATTTTAATGATGGATGATGATGATTATGGTGATGACGATGATGAAACTTTTTCCTTTTTCTTTAGCACCTTTTCTTAAACCGACCGGAAATAATAAATCAGTTTTTACTCTTTTATTTACTTATCGTGTTAACACCACAAAGAATGACAAACTTTCAAAAATATACGCGGAGTGTAAAAAAAAAAAAAATGTCGTTAAATAAAGAAATAAAATCAAAGGAAAACCAACTCCATCATCCCAACTTTTCCTTCCTCAAAAGAATTATTTTTAAAAATCGACTCATTTTTCATATTTTCGCACGCGGATAAAAAAAAAAAAAAAAACCATTTCCGGTTTTTCATTAAAGAAAAAATTTTTAAATTCACTCACCGAAAATGTCTTCTCAACATCATTTTCGTTAGTTACAAATTAACCGCCAGAGTTCAGCATCTACCAATGAGATGTAACTACGTCGGAAAACAAACGAACGAACGAAGGCAAATCGAACGAGGTTTTTTCATTTTTAAACTCTCGTTTTCTCTGAAATATTTATATAAAACGAAAGTTAAATATTAATAATAATAAATAAATAAATAAATAAATTTGATATTAAATCTCGATTCGAACCTAATTTTCAAACGGCGATAGTAAAATCTCTCGATGAATTCGATTGTCTCGGACTTCGATACGCGCTCAATTTCGTTGTTCTCTCGCAATGACTTTCATTCAATTCAACCGAATCGGAAAAACCTTAAATAAAAAAAAACAACCCAAAAAAATAAATAATAATAATAATAAAATGAAACGTGTAAAAGTTTCGAGGCTCTTAATAAATACAATCGATAGTTATAAATATTACCGGTGGGTGGTTCTAATTTGAAAACATACGGTGACAATGAGGCAAATGGTACTGAACTGCTACCAGGCCTCAAAGGTATGGAATCTCTTCTATCTCTCCCGGATTCGAACGAATACCGCCCTAATTGTAACATTCTGAAACGATAAAATAAAATAAAATAAAATAAATAAAACAAACAAATTTCTTTTTTTTTTTTTTTTACAACAGTCACAACATTTTTACGTTGAGATTTTATCTTATTATGGGCGTGCATTAATCGTGCATCCTCCTCCCTGTTACTACTTTTAATATTTGATTATCAAAAATTTTCCCAGATATAATTTTTCACTTTTACCTTTTTTTTTTTTTTTATTCAGGGGGGCGTTTAAATAATAAAAAATGATATAAAAAATAAACTCCACCCTGAGCTAAAATAATATTAATTATTTTTTTAAAATTCCGGAATAAGTTCGAATTGCATCGTAATACGTACAATTCAACACGAATTACATGCATCCCATTTTAATTTTATGCAATTTTATCATTATCATTATCGATGATATGGTGACTTCATAATTATTTTCACTTACTTTGTTTTTCCTCGTCGGGAAAATGATGTTCTTTCGTAAGGCCTCGAAGATTCCGCTAAATTACCTGCATCGGGTCCGTGGTAAATAAAATCTTTAGAAAAAAAAATTATTATTATTATTATTATTATTATTATTGTTTTGTTGTATTGTTGATGACAAGTTTTTTTTTTTTTTTATATTTACCACTTATTTCTGCATCCGTTTCCGAACCTAAACTATCACATTCGAAATCTTCATTTTTTGATAATTTAGTAACAGTTTTTCTTTTAACTCTTCTATAATTGCTTTTAAAATTTTGTTTACTCGAATCTACCTGTAAAAAAAAAAAAAATAATAATAATAATAATAATAATGCAAAAAAAAAAATGGCGACGGGAAAAAACTTCACGTGCGAAAGAGGAATTACCTCTTTTAATTTCAACGTTTCCGCTGATGTTAATATCGAATCGTTATATATAAAACTAGATATCGGGGTTCCTCTACTTCTGTCTCTTTCTATCTTTTCTATATCTACGCTTTTCCTATCGATGGGAGCTCCCGACGTACACCTGGATTCTTCGGGAGTTAATTGATTCAATTGAAATGTTGCGTACGGATAAATATCTTCCGAATATTCTGGAAAAAAGTAACAAGTGCGTAGCAATTAAAATATCCATAAAGAGTTTTTTTTTTCGATGATTTTCACGTTTGAAAACCTGGAATTCTTTCCAGCGACGATATATCTCTATCAGGTGAGCGAAGTGGTTTTTTTACAGTCGCATAATATTGTTCTCGTTGATGAGCATTTTGTTTATTGTCCAAAATAGCACCTGAAGAATGGGAATCTCTTAAAATCACTGATTCTCTCGATGCTGCAGATCCTTAAAATTACAAAAATTATTGTTATGGTACCATATTTGTTTTAAAAAAAAAAAAGTAACAAAGTTAAAATTTTCTATCATGCTTACTCTTGCTCCAACAATAATAAACAACAAGGACGGCAGTCAAGATAACAAGGCAGGAAGTAAAAAATGGTAAAATTAGTCTTAGATCAAGATAAAATGGCATTTCTGCTTGTCCACTATGCCGAGTCAAACTTGGTGAAGCAGCTGAATGTAATACGTTAAACATTATAGTAAAATACAAAATTTTAAATTGAAAAACTCTTACAAATAAATTTCTTACCACCAATATTTTGAAGAGTGTAAAATTTATATTCACTTTCTATCGAGCCAGCATTATTATGAGCTTTAACATTAATCACATATTCTGTTCCAGGTTGAAGATTTCCAAGAGTGTAATATTTTTGTTTAATTAAACTATTAGAAACTAATGTCCAATTTGTTTCATCTTTTCTTCTGTAATTCAATTCAAAATATGTTATCGGACAACTATTGTTTAACCACTTATCCAAAAACAATAAAACAAATGTTGTATTCGGAAGTAAAAATTCTTCTTTGGATATTTTAATCGGTTTTCTACCATCTGTTGTTGCAGATATGATAGAACTTTTTTCTCCTTTACCTGTAAATTTAATAAAAAATTTTTATTTCATGTTTGCAATAATGCAGAAAGTTTTTTTTGTAAATAAAATTTTTTCTCTAACCGATTGAATTATAAGCTTGAATGTAAATTTGATAAGCTGTTCCACAGTGGAGATCATTTAACAAGTAATTACTTTGCTGTCTACCAATTTTAATCGATTTCCAATCACCTTTGCTTTTTTTATAATGTAAATAATAACCTCGAATTAAAGCTCCTCCATTATCTCCTTGTTTCCATTGAACATTGAGACTAGTTTTTGTGGCACTAGTGGCATGAAGTAAAGGTGCAGAAGGAGGAACTAAAATAGTTATTTATTCACTCATATTAATGCAAATGATGATTATAAAATAAATTTTATTAATAATATGGCAAACATACTTTGAACCTGTAAGTGATATGTAATCGAATCAAATCCATGTTGATTTTCAACTTGACAAGAATAATTTCCTGAATCATTTCTGATAAGATTGATTATTTGAAGTGTACCATCATTCATAATTTTAAACCTACAAAGAATAAGTGTTCAAGTATTTGTTTTAAAAAATCAGTAGTTTTAACTCACCTGGAAGAAGGTTCAATGGGATGAGACCATCGTTTCCAATGTAACAAAGGCTCTGGTTTCCCCACAAATTTACAAGAAAGTCTTGCATCGCTTTTCCACGGTTGAGTTACGGTGATACCAAAAGAGTAAATTGCAGCTCTTACTGGAAAAAAAAAAATTAATAATAATAATGATAATAATAAAAATTATTTTACCACAATGTTAAACAAACAATTACTTGATATTTGTCGTATTTATTAATTTATCATTTAAAAGTTAAATTTAAAAAATAAATAAATAAATTTAAACATTTTAATAATTTTTTAAAAATGAAAAAAATTAAAAATTTTCAAAGTTATCGTTGAACGTTTTTAATTGACTAAAAACGAAATGTTCGAAAATTTACCGACGTGACGTGGTTTTAATTAATTTATGCAAGAAATCGTTTTATAAAGCCACGATCAAAAAAAAAACCGCAAAACGTAACGGAAAAGTAAATTTAACTGACATTGAATTTGATGAGAAAAATTTGTTTGTTTTAAATATTTATTTACCTTCAGTGTTTGGAGATAAGATAACCGGTGAAGTTCTAGGACTTTCTCCGACTTTTGTTGATGCAGCCACCGTGAATTCATATTGTAATCTTTTATTTAATCCTTCTTCTTCGTAACTGGTATGATCAGGAGGTATGGAATATCTAAACATTTTTTTTTAAATGCATTATTATTATATTTTAATCTAGCGCATGCCATTTGTTTAATTAATAATTATTGTACCTTTTAGGTTTGGCATCTGGAGAATTACTTGCTGATTTTATTTGAAGATTATAATTTATTAAAATGCCATTAGTGCGACTGGGTGGTAGCCAACTGACTATTATTGAAGTCGGATTACTAATTACCGCTTTAATTGCTCGAGGAACTTCAGGAACTGTTAATTGTAGGTATTTTTAAAATACTTGAAAAAACACTTTTTAGAAACAAAAAAGAAAATTTATCATTTATTAGATTACCATCTTCATTTGTGAGGCATTGTAAAGGAGGGCTTGCAACTCCATCACCAGCATTTGTGAATGCCAACACTTGAACACTGTAATTGGTAAATTTTTGTAGACCGTGTATTACAGCACTTAGGGCTGTTGTGATTTTGGTCATGGGTTTATCCATTTCTTCAAAATCTTCCAAATTTTCCCACATAACTTTATAACCTGGATCAAAGCATGAAATGTTTAGATTTTCAATTCTTCATTTTAAAATCAGGACACGTATTTTGAGTACCTTTTAAATGACCGTGAAGTTGAGTATCAGGCACTGAGTTCCAAGACACTTGTAAACTTTGTGAAGTGAAAGCTGCACAACGAATATCTTGAGGAGAAGCACTTGGAACATCTTCTAAAGTTAATGCTAAAGCTTCGTTGGACGTGGGACCAGGTCCTAATGCATTATAAGCTTGAACAACGATGCTGTATTTTGTAAATTTTTTAAGGTCTGTGAGAAAGGTTTCACCTCCTGCACTACTTCTACTTTCAATATTTTTATATTGATACTGATCCTCTTTGAGTCTAAAAAAATGTTAATTATCAAAACAAGTTCTTTTAATTTTGACCAAAAAACGTCTGATATCAAACAATAACCTTTGTTCTTTAAATCCCACATGGTATCCCAATATTTCACCGTTCCAAAGTTCACGTTCTGGAGAGTCCCACTTAACGTGTAATTCTGTTGCACTCAATGCACTTGTTTGAACATTTCTAGGAGCTCCACTAGGCACTTCACTTTCCGTCGTGATTTCTAACACATCACTTGGCAAACTTTTACCAAGTTCATTTTCGGCAAACAAACGAAACTGATAAGTGACAGCAGGTCTTAACGAACTAATTAATACGGAAACTTGATTCACTGGAACTGTTATTTGGGTTGTGTGTTCCAGCCAAGAATCTACAAACACACGCGCGCACACACACACACATAATTATCAAATTATTTTATCAAAATTTTTTACATTTAAATTAGTTAACCCACCTGAATCGATTTTATATTCAATAATGCATTGCAATATGGGAGAATTACCATCTTGACTTAATACCCAACCCAATTTAACAAATCTGCTACCCTTTTCTATAACGTGTATGTTTCTTGGAAAATCCGGTGGTTCTTGTACAAATAATTGCATTATCATTTCATCACGTCCGAATGAATTTGTCGCTATGCAATAATATTGACCACTATCTTCACGAAGGGTGGTAAATATTAACAATTCGGAAATTATTCCTTCAGTAGAATTTAATTCTTTTATGCTGTGTCTAAAATGTATTAAAAAAAATAATAAATTTTCATTTTGTTTTTAACGCTAGCTGGAAAAAAAAAGGGTTTTTAAATTTAAACGATGGTTTAAAAGGTTTAAAGGCTTATGTGACGCACACGCACACGCACACCCACCCACAAGGATATATGTGTTTTTCTCCCATTTTATTATACATTCACGGTCACCTTTGTTTTTGAATTTTTGATTAGTCGAACGTGTCACTTCGTTTAATCCCATTTCCCTTCTTTTTTTTTTTTGTTCCCGTTTGTTTAAAATTCAAGATGGATTTTTATTTTAAAAAAAAGGCCCGTATTCGTTAGAAATTTAAAAAAAAAAAAAGGGATTAACGTTTGTTTTTTTTTTTTTATAAAATCATATTTCCAGTATTTAATTAAACCGTGTGACGTATTTAAAAAAAAAAAAAATTAAAATTAAAATTTCACAAACGTATATATATATATATATATATTTTTTTTTTTCAGAGTTATCGTGGAAGGAGATAGAATGAATATTGATAATAATAATTATTTTTTTTACCTGTAGTCAGATGCAGTGCCGTCCATTGTTAAACCAGATTTTCTCCAAACAATTTTAATGGGTCTGTCACCGGTGACTTCACATTTGAGTACAACGCTCGAACCTAATTTTGAAGTTTGATTTTTATGTTTCGAATAAAAATGGGGGGGTGCTAAAATAAAATTTTTTTTTATTTTAAATTCGTTTAAAAAATTATTTAAAAAAAAAAATTATAATTTAAAATTAAACTGACCGTTAACGGTTAAATAAATTCTTTTACTTAAACCCGTACCGATACCATTGAAAGCTTCGCAGACGTAATAACCTTCGTGTTCTTCTCCCAATTTTTCAATTATCAATGATCCATTTGGATATATTTTTATATCGGAATTATTATCGATTATGTCGTGATAGGTACCCGGTCGCTTACCTAAAAAAATTTTTTTGGTTTCAGGTACAAAAAAGTTTCCGTTCGATATCAGCGTTATAAGGTACCATAAGAGAGAAAAAGAAAGAAAAAAGAAAAACTTACTCACCGATTCCCTTTCTCCAGGTAACCGTCGGTGTGGGATTTCCTTCGGCTTGACAATCCATGCTATATTTTATAGCTCCTTGAGGTCCTTGATGATTTTCTGGAGGTAGAGACCATCTTGGAGGTACTGTGATAAAACAAATTAAAATTATTTCGAGAAAAAAATTTTCTTTTTTTTTTATTACTTCATTTATAAAAACAAAAGCTTAAAACATAGCTTAAAGCTTATGCTTAAAATTATTATTATTATTATTATCATTATTATTTGTGCTGTGCTGTGTTGGTTCGATCGTGTTTTGTGATTTTTTTTTTTTCGGTTGCTTGTGCAATTATTATTTATTTTTAAAATTTGCCAGGAAAAACGAAAAAAAAATGGAAAATAACATTTATTAATTATTATTATTATTTGGAAAAAAAAATTCATTCGGAATGCCATTGAATGAATGAATGAATAAAATTCATTCTCGTCATCGTTTTTGTTTGTTAATCGTAATATTTAAATGGAAAATTCAATTTGTATTTAATTCCGGAGGAAAAGCTTTTGACGGTTTAAAAGCGTTATAATTCAAAGTTTGTTTGTTTGTTTGTTTGTTTGCCTTGTTTGTTTGTTTATTTTTGTTAACTGAACTCGGATCATTAAAATTGAAAGAAATTTATAACAATAGATATTCGTTTGATAAAACATGGCTACCTAACCAAAACCGAACGACGGCAAAATAATTTTTTTTTTTTTCAAAAACAACAATTTATTAATCGTTATTTACACGTTAAAATTCTCTCTCTTTCTCTCTTTAATCTCGTTTTATTTTTATTTACTTAAATAATTTTCTCATTTGTTTAAAAAGATTTTTTTTATCAAAAACTTTTCTCTCTTCCCTCCCCCTCTCCCTCCTCCTTCCAGAAAAAAAAACAAAATGTTCATCAATCATATTTTTTTTGTGTAATTTAAAGTTTTTCGTTTAATATTATTTAAAATTATTTAATATTTTACTCGTGGGAAAAATAATTTCGAGTCGACAGATTCCTGTCGTCACAATTGGGAAAACTAAATGAACGTTTCAACATAAATAAATAAATAAACAAAAATCGATGGAAAATGTTTAACGCCGTTTTCAAAAGCTTTTCCTCTTGAGTTTAATTATTATTTTTTTTTTTAAATTACGTCGACGGTAACGACGAGTTATTATTATTATTATTATTTGACCGCCATTTTTTTAAAAATAATAAATAATATATAATAAAGAAAAATCAAAAAAAAACAAAAAAACAAAACTAAACATGCATCATGCATAAGATTACCATTGCGAGAGAGTGAGTGCGTTTTTTTTTTGTGCGTGAGCGCCATTTCATGCTGTGGGACAATCCTAAATTAGGGGGATCTGGGTACATTACCGCTAACGACCAGCTCAGCCGTGTATTCAACAGCGGCCACTTGGTTGGCTGCTCGGCAGGTGTAGTTGCCGGTATGCGAAGCGGCTAGCTGGTCCACAATAACAGTACTCGAATGTGTGTCTAAACCGACTATTTTGAGACCATCCGAAGGCAGCGGTTCGCGATCTTTGAGCCAAGTTATCGTAAATGGAGGATCGCCTTTTTCGACGACACAAGAAAGATGGGCTCGCACTCCCTCTGATAAATCCTTGTTAAAAGAAAATGGGGCTATCCTAGGCGGTACTGGAAGAACCAAGCAGGTTTACTCTTTTATAATTAACTACACCCAATGCTATTAAATACTTGCCAAAACGAAAACTCTTTCAACACTCGTTGCTACGAAGACTTCTTGTAGGGAAGAGAGAGAGGGGAGGGGGAGAAAAAAAAACAAGACATTAAATATATAAAAAATTTCAACTAGGCACAGGCACAGGCTAGCCGTACCATGGACAATTAAAGCTGCCTCATGGCTCACTTGGGCTGCCTGATTTCTGGCGACGCATGTGTAGTTTCCAGCATGTGATGGAGCTGCGCTTGCTATTCTCAATGACAAATCATCTTCTCCGTGTGTGTACGTGGTTACTCCTTCTGGCAATTTTGGACTTCCGTCAAAAAGCCATTCTAAACGTAGTGGTAGGTCGCCAGAACTTATGACGCAAGTGACCAAAACTCTTGAACCTTGTTGTATATCTGATGGAAAGCTGAAAAGCTCGATTTTGGGTGGGACTGGAAATTTCAATTATTATTTTTTCTCGGTAACATTTTTAACATAAATCATTAAAACTTGACCTAGCTTTTAAAATATTTGCGCGTTCATACATTTCCTCATCTAGGCACGCTTCCACACACCCTCACACACACACACACACACACACACGCACGCACACTCATCCATAGACAAGTTATCAAATTTTTAATCAAAAAAAAATTTTTTTAATTATAATTTTGAAAGGTTTTAATTATTACCTTTAACTTCAATTTGAACAGTTTTCGAATCGTGATGTCCTTGTTTGTTTTTTGCCATGCACATGTACAAACCTCCATCTGATAAATTATCGACCTTACGAATGACCAAAGTTCCATTCGGTGACACTTCTTGCCTTCTATTAACCGGTAACAACTGTCCATCTATCAAAAAAAAAAAAAAAACGAATGATATGAATTCGTTATAATTTACAAATTATATATTTTTACCTTTTTCCCAAACGATAAAAGCTATCGGATAACCAGCAACAGGACACTGTAGGATTAAATCGTGTCCAGCAACAGCAGCTATGGTATTCATGGGTCTCACCATTGGGAGACCATAAATGTTAAGGCGAGCCGAATGGGAAACTGAACCCACTCGATTTTTGGCAGTGCATTTGTATTCGCCTCCATCTTCCACATTAACGGAACTTATGTTTACGTGTGATATGACGTCACCGTGTACAGTCACATATTGACCAATCACAAGCCTTCAAAAAATAAATAAATTTTATTTTCGTGATCTTCCTTGTGACAATGAAAAACGATTTTTACATATATGAAAATTATTTATTCATTATTTAAATTTTATTTATTGGTAATTTTTATCACATACCAAATGAATTCAGTTTTTATTTTTTTATTATTATCATCATCATCATTATTATCGAGAAATTTTACAAAAAAAAGGAAAAAAGGGTTGAATATTTTAGCCAAATGTTACCATTTGACGCCTCCTTTCCCTCCCCATCTTTTTTATCATCTGCTTTTGTTATTACGTTCACAATAATTTAAATTAAGTTTATTTTTCGCAATATTAATATTATTATTATTATTAAACAATTAATAAATAATTAAGAGTCGACTGAAATTATGTTTAAAAAAAAAAAATTTTATATAAAATGATTTATTACTGTCGTGATTAAAAAAAATATTTTTATTTTTTTCTTCGACACAAAATTTTCAAATCTATCCCGTAGCCAAAAAAAATCTGTGAAAAAAAGCAAAAACGAAAAAAAACAAACGAAATCAAAAAAAAAATTAATTTTTTTCTAGAACAATCGAAAATTATTTAAAACGGGACAATAAAAAAAAAAAAAAAATCAACAGGAATGACACAAACACGTCAGCCCTTCGGGTTTCTTTCCTTCTCTTTTTGATTGACTTTCCGCCATTTTAAAATGGCGACTAAAAAAATATTTCAACCGATATAAAAAAAAAACATAAAATTAACGACAGCAAAAAAAAAAAACGACAACGTGAAATAAAAACCCAATTAAACCGATTTTATTTGTTTTATTTTTATTTTTTGTGTAAAATTCTCCTCTCTTTCTCTCTCTCTCTCTCATTTTCCCAAAGGGTTTTTTTTAAAATAATTATTTACCACCCCCTCCCCTCCATCCCTCTCTCTTCCCACAACCAAAAACCCCCACGTAAATGCGAAAAATTTATTTAAATAAAAAAAGGGGGGGGGCAACAAACATAATTAATAATGAAAATTCGATTATATATTTAATAAAATCTTACCGGTCATTTTGCGGAAGTGAAAAACCATCTAAAACCCAAGTGAAATGAGGAGTCGGATTTCCGGTTGCTATACATTTTAAAGAGACCGAGGGTCCCGGTTGCATCGTCTGCTCAATAAATTTATATATTAAATGAGGTGAAGAATCTGAAATTTAAAAAACCGTCAAATTTTTATTAACTATTAATTGAATATTTAATTACTTGTGTGTGTGTGTGTTTAAAATTATTTTCTTTGTTGTTGTCTGGTTGTTTGTCGTCGTTTGTCGTTTGTTATATATAATTAACATTTTAATTCATTTGTTATTTAACGAATTTTTCGATAATTTTAATCCAGAGGCGTGTGCTCGTATGTATACGTAACGATAAAACTTTTTATTTATTGATAAAATTAATTAAACTTTGTCAACCGCCATTTTTATCATTCCAGGTCATTATTTTTCCTTTTTTCTTTTTAAATTTTCCGCGCGTTAAAATTTTTTTTTTTTACGCCGCGTTTTTATAATTTTTTTAAATGTTATATTTTTTTTTTTTTTTTTTTCAATAAAAAATTCATGGGAAAAGTTTTGTAGAGCGAAAAAAAAAATTTTCTTTTTTTTCACTTTTTAAAAAATTGATATCATTTTTTTGAAAACATTATTTTTTACTTTTAGACAAAAAAAAAAAAAAAATTTGAAAAAAGGGGATGCGAAAGGGAGGAAAGGGTAAGGAGGGGGGGGGGGTTAAAATGAAATTTTATTCGTGTGCGAAATAAAAAAAAAAAAAAATCGTGAAAAATCAAGAGAAAAAAAAAATTTTCCAACATAATTTATTAATGTTTCTTTTTTTTTTCTTTCTTTTTTTCCTGTGATTATTATTTTATATGAAACCGGAAGTTTCTTTTTTGTTAAAAAAAAAAAAAATTCAAAAGAATTTACACACGCGCACGCGAGCGTGAGAAAAAAATTATTATTATTATTATTAAAAATTTTTTTTTTCGTAAAAAAAAGTCGTAAATTTTTTGTTGAATAAAGAACGCTTTCAATTATTTATTTATTTTATTTTATTTTTTTTCCAGAAGAAAAAAATAAATTTTTCTTTCCTCATTTCAATTTAAAAAATGTCAGTTAAAAAAAAAAAATTTCCTTCTCCCCCCCCCCAAAAAAAAAAAACCTTCAAATTTGATTTTTATAAAAGGAGACACAATTTTTCTTTAAGGAAAAAAAAAAAAAAAAGGTTTTTAGAGTTTGTATTCGTCGAACCGTTAAAAATAAATAAGGCCACGTCAATTTCTATTAGCTTATTTTTACTTTTTAGGTAAACTAAATGCGATTTCCCCTCCCTCTCTCTCCCTTTCCCCCCCCAAAAAAAAAATTCTGTAAGTTTATGTATAAGAGAACTACAAAAGTTGATTGGAACAATTTTTTTTCCCACCAAAATGAAATTGTTTCCTTTCTCTCTCTTACTGATTTCACATTGGAAAATTTAAATTTTGAGAAAAAGTGTGAAAGTAGGAGCAGGGGGAGGAGGAGGAGGAGAAATTGAAAAAAAGGTAAAAATTTTTCTTATATTCGTTAAAAAAAAATCTAGAAAATTCTTCTATATATATATATAAGAAAATGTGAAAATTCCATTTTTTTTTTTTTAACAAACGTATTGAATGTGACGTTCATCCTTTTATTTTGTATTTTCGAAAACGAAAAAAAAGAATGAGTTTGAGATAAGTTTATAATACTAGTATTTGGTCATTTTATATTATTTATAGAAAAACTCAAGTTTGGAAATGAAAGAAAATTTTACCTCCCAAACGTATTTCGGACGTTCCCTGTGACATTTCATAATCGTTTTTAGCAAAACATTGATACATTCCCTTATCATCTCTTGTCAGCCTGTTTATCTCCAGCCTGGAATTTTTATCTTGGATTATTTTCATCCTGTGCGACGTATTCCTTATAATTAAACCATCTTTACGCCAATATATTGTCGGAGTTGGATGACCCGTGACAGAACATAATATTGATGTATCGTGATTTAAATCAACGGTTACCTTTAATGTAAAAAAAAAATTTTTTTAAAAATGTAATTTGTTTGTTTTCGACGACATTTTAAATCAGCTGTTAAGAACACACCCTTTGCGGCATCATGTGAATAGTTATGGGAATCAAAACTGTCAATTGTAATTCAATCCTTTCGCTGCCCATCGAATTATTTGCTATGCAAACATATCGTCCGTTATCGTTTAAACCGACATTTTGAATTATCAAAACTCCTTCTCTTATGTATTTTTTTTCGCTCATCGTTAATAATTCAAGATGTCCGCCGGTTTCGTAATTCGTTTTGTACCATATGTAATTAGGAGTAGGATATCCTTGCGATGTGCATGATAAAACGGCCGTTTCACCTTCTCTAACCGGTGACGGTGATATTCTTTCGTGATATCTCGGAGGCACCGATCCTCTACTTTCTGCAAGAAAAACAACAAAAGAAAAGTAATTGTAATGTGATAATTTTTTTTACACAATTATTATTATTATTATTTAAAAAACTTTACCCAAAAATAACAATGATAATGAATGGTAATGAATGTGGAAAAAAGCAGAAACGAGGTTGAGGAAAACTGGAGAAATATGGAACGGTTGAGTGATTTTAAACGTTTTTAATTGTCCGTCCCCCTTGCTCCCCTTACCCCCTTTACTCCCTTGCCTCCCCATTTCCCATTCCACCCTTACACACACAGACACTAATGAAAGCAAAGTGCTTTGCATAATGGGTTTAGTGAATAACTGGAAAATTTTTCTCTTTCTCTCTCTCTCCTTCTCTTTTTTCCAGTTTTTTCGTTTTTAAATTTTTTTCTTTTTTTGAATGAAAAGAAAATGGCGGGAAAATTTTTTAGTTTTTTAAATTTTAAAAACCCTGGAATGCCTGGAATGAAAAAAAATGAACGCGTGATTTATTATTTTTACGTGTCAAAAATTCATTGATAATTATTATTCGTTCGATGATTATGATGACGTCATAAAATGAATTTTAAATTTCCCGCCATTTTTTTTATACATAAACTAGAAATTTAAATGTGGCGTATCGGACAGACTACTCCAGTTACGAAAACGATAAAAAAAAAAAAAAAAAACGGAAGGGAATATAAATTTTAATTGTTATCACGTGATTTGTTTTTTCTTTTCAAAATGGCGTCTTTTTTCGTAATTAACAAAGTAAATGAAAATTTACGCGCGTTATTAATTATCATTATTGCGTTTGGAAGAAAATAATAATAATAATAATAATTTTTTTAAATTGATAAATAAATTTTTTTTTCAACGAGTTTTTATTTATTTATTACCGTAATTAATAAATTAATTATTTAATTATATTAAAATTGATGTTGCGTAAAATTTATTACAAAAAAGTAAATAAAAAAAAACATGGCAGGAGAAAAGTTGTAATGATAATAATAATAACCTGTTACTACGTTTCGCGAAAATATTTCTAGAAATTTTATGAAAAAATGTGGAAATAGAATAAAAAAAAAAAAAAGTTTTTCTCATTACAAAAAAATCAGATGTGAGTTAACCTACCGGAAATAATAATAATTTGTTAAAAAATTATTACCGGAAATAATAAATGATTTTTTAAAATATTTTTTTTTAATTAACAAGAATAATAATAAAAGCAGAAGACAAATATTATCAAAGATTGTTAAACACGTTACTTTTTCAAATTTTTTTTTTTTTTTATTTAATTAACGGATTAACTTTTACAATCTTAACTTCCTTCTTTCCTTCCTTCCGCTCCCCAACTTTATTATTATTATTATTATCATCATCTGCATCATACTTTTTCTCTCTCTCTTTCTCTCTCTTGCAAAGAGTTTTTGGAATTTTTATTTTTTTTTGTGTTTAAACTTTTTTCACTAGGACTTTTATAGTTTTGTAGTTTTAATCTTTTATTTTAGTTTTAACAAAAAAAAAAAAAAACTTTTAGGTTAGTTTTCTTTCTTTTTCTTTCATTCATTTTTTTCTTTCCTTTTTTTTTTTATTCTTTTTCTAATGTTAAATTTTCCGTTTTTTTTTCTTTTTTTCTTTTTTCTTCTTCCTCTTCATCAGGTTTTTTTTTTTTTTGATTTATTCTTTGGTTCATTAAACTTTTTCACATCTTTTCCTTTTTTTCTTTTTTTATTTCCTTTTCTTATTTAATAGAAAAAAAAAAAAACTTTTTTCTTTTTTGTAAAACTAAAAATTAATCGCCCATTTACTACTTTTATTTGAGTTTGAAATAAAAAAAATTTTTTTCTAATGCCACGACGAATGCATCGTCGTCGTCGTGTTCCAAGGGGGAATGAAAACGAAGAAAAAGAAACTAAAAAAAAAAATTAATAATAATAATAATAACAGTAAAAAAAAAATTCGACAAAGATTTTTCCTTTTTTATTATTACCCAAACCCATTTTTTTTAATTTTAATATTCAATGAATAAATGAAGGAATGAATGAATGAATGAATGAATGAATGAATGAACGAGACCTTTTCTTTCTCCTTTTTTTCTCTTTCTTCTTTTTTCCTTTTTTTTTTTTTGTACTTAAAACCCGAGTAAGAAATATAATCGCCATTAAAAAAAGTATTGTTTAATTACTTTTAATTAAATAATTTAATATCACCGTAAGCTAAACGTTATACTTAATTAATAATAATAATAATAATAATAATAAGTTTGATATTATAATAAAAAACGAAAAAAAAAGGTATTGTCTGTCTTTAGAGGGAAAAATGAATTATTATTACGTTGTAATTTTTTTTAATTAATTCTCATTATTATTATTATTATTACTATTATTATTGCCATAATTATTATTTTTTTTAATTAACGGTACGAGTAATTATTATTATTATTATTATTAAAAAAATTGATATTTTATGTTAAAAAAAAAAATTATTATAATTATTCGCGGTTAAAAATTTGCTTGAATTGAATGAAAACGATTCGAGTCGACAAATTATTTTTTATTATTATTATCATTATTATTATTATTATTATTATTATTATTATTATTATTATCATTATTATTATTATTATTATTATTATTATTATTATTATTATTATTATTATCATTATTATTATTATTATTATTATTATTATTATCATTATTATTATTAATATTATTAATTGAAGTGACATTTTTAACACTTTTACGGTTTACGGTCCTGTTTGAAAAATTTTTTTTTTTGTAATAAAAAACTGGAAAAAATGAATTGGAATCGGATTGGGAGGGATGATTAAAGAATCCCGTGACATTTTTTAAAATTAACAAATAAAACCGTTAAAAAAAAAAAAAAAAACTGGATATTATTGATTTAATAAAAGAAAACAAAAATGAAAATTCCAGCATTGCATTCAACTGGAGAGAACTGGAAACTTTTCAGACTCGATACATTTATTGCGAAAACAAACGTTTTCAAATTGTTTACGTTTAATTTTTTTTTATTATTTTTTAATAATGAAAACCTGAAGGCGATGAAAATTTCATAAAATGCGGTTATATATATCTATTCTCTTTCCAGAATATTCTACCCGATTACAAACTCACCCCTTCGTCCTCATCCCCGTCCTCCCCGTCCTCCCCCTCGTCATCGTCATCATCTACCTTTTATTTTATATCACACCACGAAAAGCTTTTTGAGGTAAAATAACCTTTCGAGATGATCACACGTTATATTCGCGTATGTAATCAAATTTGTTAAAAAAATTTTTTTTTTTTAGGCGCGTTTCGTTTTATTAACAACCTTAAATTCGACACGAAAACAAAAGGTTACGTTCGTTTTATTATTTTTTATCCTCTTTTATCCTTTTTTGTAAATTTAAATAATTAAACATCCTTTCCACGGCTTCTCCTCCCCTCCATCGCCTCCCCTTCCCCATCCTCACAAAAAAAAAATTGTAATAAAAATTAAATAAATTATTTTTGATATAATATAACATTTTTGGATGAATAATAATGAAAGAGGAAAGAAAAAAGGATCATATCGTTTTATATTTAAACAACAACAACGGGAACGATGACGACAACGACAACAACAACAACAGCCACCATGATTTACGATATAATCATAATTTCGAAACAATACAAAACAACAATGAAATGAAAGGTTTTTAAGATAGATAACTCGAATCGTATAACGTGCATTCGTGTGTGTACGACCACATTATTTCCGGTTATTCATAACCTTTTTTTTTTTTTTTAAATGGCGTGAGAGATTGTATATACGTACTTCCGGTTCATTATTCAATATAAATTTCATCATATCTTAATTTCCCGAAAAAAAGAGAAAATCAAAACAATCAATTTTTTTTTTTTTTTTATTAACAATTTGATATCGAATCTCTTTTTTTCAAAAAAAAAAAAAAAAAACCCGTTAAATTAATAACGAGGGGGGTGAAGGTGTGAAAGGTGAAAGAGGGGATGAGGGGAGAGGAGGGTACGTTTAATATAAAAATAAAATAAAAATAAAATTTAAAAAAGTTTTAAAAACAATTCACATGAAAACTCCGATGATGGAATTTATATTAAATTAAACGTCAAATAACAAAAAAAAAAAATTTAATAAATTAAATTAAATTTCAAAATGACGACGACGACGACGACGACGACGACGTCGACGACAACAACAACGACTATAAATAAACTATAAATAATACTGCTATAAACTATAAAAAAATTAAACACGTTTTACGAATCAGTTCAAATAATCAAAACCAATAAAAATTTTTTTAATGGGTTTAAAAATGTTAAAAAAAAAAAAAAATAGAAAAAAGAAAAGCTTTTAATGAAATTAAAAAGAAGGAAAAGTTATCTCATGGATAAAACTGGAGAAAAAAATTTAGATTCCAGAAGAAATAATATAAAAATTCTTATTCTTACCTGTTATTATAATTCTTCCATACGTCGAACTTTCAATTGTTTTTCCAGTTATGTGATGAACCGTTCTACACCTGTACGTCGGATGACTGTCCGTTGACGTCACAGAATAAACCAATAATTCTCCAGAGGGAAGCATGTGATGTTTACCATCCGAATAAGATGACGAGGGATATATATTAAACAAAGAATCTTGTACCCACGACGTTATGGATATTTGATTTTTAACAAAAGTTGGTATTTCGCATTTTAAAACGGCCGTGTTACCCGTAAAAACATACGTGTCTCTAACGATGACGTCATAATGTTGTTTAACGATGGCGCGAACGTTAACTTCTCGGCTTATCACTCGTCCGACGTTATTACTCGCCATGCATTGATAACTCGTCATGTGTACGTCTTGCCTGTAATTTTCAGCTCCGAACGGTGGAAAATACAAACTTCCGTTTTTCATTATTTCTCTCACGTGTGTCACCGGGGTGACACTCGTTCCGTCTGTCATTATCCACGATATTATAGGCTCGGGTAAACCGTGTGCCGTGCATGATATGATCGCACCGATATCGTTTAAAAATTCTAATGATGATCTTGGTTCCGTTACGAATATCGGACCTTGAGTTTCCGGTCCTGTTACCGACAGCACTGAAAACAAATAATAATAATGATAATAATTTTTTTTAAACATTAAAACCCTTTTAATTTGTTAAAAGATAATAATAATGGAACACATGGAACATATTATTTTGAAAATATTTTATAGCGCTATAAATGAAAATAGGTTAATATAAAATTTTGATATATATAAAAATTTACTGTCATAAACAACCTGTTGGAAAAATGACGTCGTCGCGGTTGTTGTCGGTTGTCGGTTGTTGTTGGTTGTTGTTGTCGTCATTATTATTACATTTTAAATTTCTCTTACAACAATCTCTTATAATTTCTTATTAAAGTTTATGACGTGTATAATTTTTTTTTTTTTGTTAAAACGTCACCATTGAAATAATAATAATAATGCTGTAAAACGTGCTGTAGCATCGTATAATTTTTTTTTTTAATGAAAAGTTTTCATTTTCGTCCAATTATAACGTTTGTCGCCATTAAAACAAAAAAAAAATTACGAACATTTTATTTAACCTTTTTATAAAGGGAATTTTTTTTTTAATTGCGACATTTTTTTTTTGCTGTCGTTAAAAATTTCTCCCTCTCTCTCTCTCTCTCTTTTTCTCTCACTCTTTTTATCGATGAAAATTTTCCGCTACCAATTTAAAATCAATATCGAATAAGGAGCGAAAATTTAAAAAAAAAATTAAATTAAAAGCGTTTAAGGAAAATGTGAAAAAAAATGCTCCGTTGCACTTTTTCAGGTTTTCCTTTTGATGAGCCCAAAAAAAAAGGAAAATATTCAATTGGGAAATAAAAAAAAAAAAACCGAAAGTTTTTCTTTGTCTCAAAACTTTTGTGGTAAAGGTAGAAGAAAAAGGGAAATTTTTTTTTTGTCGGTTTATGAGAAGCGCTAGAAAAAAAAGACAGAAAACGTCAAAGCGGAAAAGGTAAAAAAAAAGCAAAAAAGGAAAGAAAGAAAACCTTTCCGTCAATGGGAAAAAAAAAACTGAAATCCATAACACGTCATATATTCGTTTCACCAAACAAAAGAAAAAATTTCTTTTTTTTTTTGAAAAATTTTTTATTTCGAAAACCTTTTTCGAGCCTTTTCCTCTCCCCCCACTTCCCCTCTCCCCTAAAAAGATAAAAATAAAAATTTGATCGTGCGCGACACATATCACCGAACAAACAAACACCGAAAATTTTTTTTTTTTGTTTATAAATTTTTTTTTTCGTAAACTTCGAAACTTTTCTTCCGGAAAAGTCCCTTTTCCTTTTTTTTTTATTCCCCTAATTTGTGATTCATTTCGAAACTCAAAAAACTAATCTTCCGGAAAATCCTTCTTCTAAGCAGAAGAAATAACTTTTAATTTTAAAATTTTTACTTTTTTTTTTAAAAAGTTGAACAAGAGCGAAAGTTTTGCAAAAAAAAAAAATTTTTTTTTTTTATTGTTAACTTTTAAATATAATTATTAGCTATTTCCTTACTTAAAAAACACTTTTCACCTTACCCCCTCCCCTTCTCTCCCTCTGTTCGCTTCTCTCTTCCTTTCTCTCATTTTCACTCTCTCTCTGTCTTTTAAAATTTAAAACCCATTTTTTTCCCATTTAAATTTAATAATGATATTTAAAATCTCGTTGTTTTTTTTCTTCCCCCCCCCGCGTAAAAATGATAATAATAATATTAATAATAATAATGATAAAAGTTTAAAAAAAAAGAAAATTCGATTGCAAAACAATTTATTACGGTAATGTAATTTTTTTTTCTTAACGGAAAAGTAAAAAAAATGACGCGTGAAAGATTAAAGAAAAAATAAATAAATAAAATGAATGTGAGAGAAAAAGAGAGATGGATATACATATATAAATATTTCGATAATGAGAAAGAGAGAGAGAGAAGACGGAAGAAAAAAAAAATCTTGTAATGGAATCCGAGAGTTCATTCATATTATGAATGTCAATATTAAAATATTTCAAATTTTTTTTTTTTTCCTTCCGAGTGCTGGGGATATAAGGGGAGTAGAGGGAGAGATGGGGGGCTTATTTGATTTTTTTCATACCTGAAAACTAAAAAAAAAAAAAAATCCGGGGGAGAAAAAATTAAAAAAAATTTTTTTTTTTTTTTTACAGGTGACGAAAATAATTGAAAATTGATAAAAAAAAAAAAAAATTATCGAATTCGAAAATTTCTCTCTCTCTCACACTACTTCTCCCTATTTCTTCCTTTTTCTCTCTCTCTCTCTCATTTTCTATTTTCATTTTTTTCTTATATTCATATCATTTTTCACACACACGCACACACACGAAAATCACACAAGAAAATTTAAAAAAAAAAAAAATCAATTTAAACTTTTTCCACCATCATCATCACCAATATCATCATCATCATCATTATTATTATTATTAAATTTGCATAAACTCCAGTGAATTCCATACGATGTGAATAATAAAAAAAACGTGACGTCATCATGTTTCGACACCTTTAAGGCGTTATTAATATAAATTATATATAAATATTATCGAAGCGATAATAAACGACGATTATTGATAACGATGATGATGATTATATTTAGAAAAAAAAAAAATAATAATAGTATCAAGATATATTATTTATATATGTATGTGGTTTAAAGTCGTTAAATAAAAATTATTTACGGTTTATACAAAAAAAAAAAAAGGAAAAAAGGAAAAAAAGGAAAAAAAGGAAAAAAAAGGTTTTAGTCATTTTTTTTTACTACGTAAATATAATCGTTGCTTGCCTTAAAAAAAAAAAACTCAAAATAATTTAAAAGTTTCTAAAAATAAACTTTAATAAATTTTCTTTTTTTTTTTTATTCCAGACACGACCTCACTGGAAACAACAGAAAGAAAAATAAATACTGGAAAAAAAAATACCTGGATGGAATACCTGGCATGCCGGGAGGGGTAATTTACTCTTGAAATCCAATTACTCGGAGGTTAGGTGTAGAGGATGCTTTAGGGGGGAGGGTTCTGGGATTGGATTTACCACATCCGCTAGGAGTAAACCTTCAATTTGATGCCTTAAGGGAGCCCGAGGTAACCTGGTTAAGTCTGAAAAGGGGAAAAATCGGGCCAAAAGTCACCAAGTTGAGAGTCGGGGGTTCAAATTTTGAAGGTGGGAGTTTAATTTTAGCTTGTCCAAACAAGGACAGACCTGTATCTAAAGAAGAAGATAAGTGACCTAAAACCCTTTCGAGATATTGGGGATGCGTCGACCTTTGTTCGAAGGGGTTAAACTGGGTACTTGATCCATAGAGGGAAAATGCGACTTGAAAGAAAGACAGATGAACGACCAACAAAAAAAAATTCTCTGGAAACTCGCAGACTATACGAAGAGGCAGGAGTGGTAGTAACAAATCGGGATTGCCTCTTGAAGAGTAAAAAAAAGGAAGTATCGGGTTCTTCCTCAGGTGAGATTTCCACTTTCGCGAGTGTGTATCTGATGGTTCTGGCTTAGGAGGGGGTTGAGGCTGAAATACAGGTTATACTCCCGCGAAGGCCTCTCCCTCCAGGAAAAAGAGCAAGATAAAAACGTTCTGGAGTTTTAATTGAGTGGTAGCTTCGGCTAAGTTCCAGACTCTCCCTGCTACGGGTGGGGAGGTTAGTGCGAAATTCATTTTTCCTAGGTTAACCAAAAAAAAAAAAAAAAAAACGAAAAGTTTAATTATTCTCGATCTTAATTTAATAAATACTTTTAAAAAAACATGAAAATCCACAGAAAATGGAATGTGGGAGAGAAATGGGAAGGTAGGAGGTGGAAGCGAAAGCGGGGGGCGCGAGCGGTAACAGAAGGCGGGGCGAGGAAAAACGTAAGAATAATAAAAACATTTCATTTTAAAATAATAACTGTAAAAACAATTTTTTTTTCATTTTTCTCTCACTTTTCTCTCCCCCTTCCCCCTCCCTCCCACTTTTCACTCTGTCAAATTTTTCTTCTGTTCCTTTAACAAAAAAAAAAAAAAGCAACAGCAGAAGAGAAAGAATCGTCATAAATAAATTTAAAGAGTTTTTTTTTTTTTTTTTTACTTATAACGTAATACATGACAACAATAACTATTCAAAAGTCTTTGATTGCTAATAAAAAATGTCAAATAAAAAAAAAAAAATTTTTCTCCAGCAAAATACTGAACGACAGCAAAAAAAAAAGAAAAAAAAAGAAATAAATAAATAAAATTGAAAGCGCAAGAAATTGAATAACAAAACGTGAAGCAAACGTGAATTTTTTTTTTTTCGCTTTTATTATTATTATTATTTTTATTTTTTTGCTAGCGGAAATTTTTTATATACGTTTGCTAGCAAAAAAAAAAATTACAATTGTTATGCTAAAAAAAAAAAAAAATAAAGGAAAGA